CCTGGTCCGTATGGACCTCAGGCTCGGCCATAGGCCGCTTGCCCTTACCAGGCGGTACAGAACCAGATGTCATCTCGGAAGTACTTTCCCCACAGACGGCGCCAAATGTTTCGGGGTTTTTGGAGTCCCTCGGGAGAGTTACAATTCCGGGAATGCGTGCCGACCGTCTGTACCTGCAAAACCACGAAACTCCGGTTGGGTGGAGTTCTGCCTCCAACGATCAAGTTAGAACGTTTCCGGATGTATAAATGTGCGGAAAGTAAATGGATTTTCTCTCTGATTCAGAGAGAACTCTGCAATTAATATTGCTCGGTTTTTGTGTTTGTATTTATGAATATGTAATAATGAGGATTTTCTTCTATTTATAGTGGAAGGGGATCAGTTCCCCTATTAGGGTTACGGTGCCATGTGTCAGCAGAGGATTGGATCCCATTGGGCCTCTCTGAGGCTGACACATGTCAGCATGCCATTGGGCCACGTGGCATAGGGTGATTTTACCCCAAACAAAAGTGAAGACAAAATAAGTTAAAGTAAATCAAATATTTCTAAAAGTAAATAGAAATGAAATTCACCTTCTCTGCTTCCGAAATCAGAAAATTGCTATGAATGCTTCTGCTATATCTTAATATCTTATAATTCTTGTATAAGTGAGCTTTAAGTTTATAAGTAATAAAAGTAGATACAAAATAAGTTAAAGTAAACCAAATGTGAGTTTGAGCTAAAATTTGAAGCTCTACAATCAATGATGCCTTTGTACACTCTGTATCACCCTTCATTGATGGGTCCGATTGTTCTTAGATACATAAAGGAGGTGTGGCACTTCAGCAAGAAGCACATTCTACCTCAACAATGTTTTAATTGCTTTAATTCCTATGTTGATATGGTTGGGTTTTGTTAGTTTTTTGTTGGATTGACAATCTAATAGTAGTGTAAGTTTTTCTTTTGATGATTATTCCTTCAAGTTTTTATTGCATATTAATTTTGATGATAGGTGATACATTTGCTAAAAGAGAAGTGTATGAGTTGAGATGGAAGTAAAGGTTTTCAAATTAAAAGTAAATAAATCAGAGTAAATAAATAATTTTTTTTGGGTAAAAACTATATTAAACCATTATAGATATAGTTTTATCTAATACTTTGTAAATAAACCTATGTGAGAATCGAAACCAAATTCTTTAGGCATTTGCACAATGCTCAACCAATTGAGCAATAGACTAGTATATATTAAACATTCGAAGTAAAGAAAAAGTGAATAAAAATTAGCAAAAGTAAATAAAAAATCGATTTTGGAGCTCGTCAGGACGATCTAGTTAGTTCTTCTGATTCGTTGAGCTTTAATTTTGGAGCTTGACTTTGTGTTGATTTTAGCTCATGCTGGTATTCCGTCAGTTTCGAATAGGATGGATATCTCTCCAAGTCGATCAAATGCAGATTCTAGGCTAGAGTTTTAGTATTTGGATGAGAGTGAATAGGCCTTGCTAGACTCCATTTAAAAAAAAAAAAATATTCTGATAATTCAATTTTTTTTTTCGCATTTACTATGTGATTTTAACTGTTATTGTGTGAAACTTCAGAGGTGTTACGTTTAATCTTGTTTTATTTTCGGTAATTTTACAGATTTGTTAAATGAATTGCGAAGTAAATTTGTGCGAATATTCTGGTATCTTGTGGATGATTTAGTGCGAATTCAGAGAAATATTGCTAACTTATTTTAAACTCAAAGCCTCGAACTGTGATATGTGTGAGCAAGCATGGTTTAATGTAAATTTGCAATTTCTGCTGTTATACTAGTATGATTGATCATACACAAACTCTTTTAAAAATAATGCTTGGATTAGATGATTTATCCTATTTTGCCACCTAAACGTAAGAAGTAACTTGCTTCTAGGTAATGATACTACTTTATCAACTAGTAGCAATCCTTATCAGACATATGTTTGTTCTACAAATCACCAGCCTACCACTTCAATGGTCAGGTACAAGTGTAGGTATGTAGGAAATATAGTGGGGAATAGACTAATCAAAGGTAAATATGGCAGCAAGGTTTGTTTCCATACAATCCAACTTGTAATTAGGCTTTCTTTCACATTTGTTTTTGATATCTGATAGTACTTGACTGAAATTGGGCGCTCTTTTGATGACATTAGTGTGTCTATTGAGCTGGTGAACTTCCTCCTCTCTGCCAGTTCTTCTGAGGTTAGACAAGAGTTAATTTTGTACATTATAGTTTTGATCATGCTTTGGATTGTTAATGGGTGTGCCGAAACCTATTAGCTCAAGTGGTATAGCACTATGCTACATATGCATGGGGATGTAGGTTTGATTCCTACATAGGTTGTCTCTAAACCAAAACCTCAAAATTAAACCAAATCACCTTAAGCAAATCATAATAGCTCAAAGGTAAATACTACTATACAAAAAAGAGATGATTATATCAAGTAGGGATGAAGTGATGAACTTTTTTAAAATTAGGGATCAAACACTCTAAAATTAACCTAAAAAAAACACTTTAAAGTTATTCAAATTACCTCAAAAGTAAATCAAGATAACCAAAAAGTAAATCAAATTAGCTTAGAAGTATACGAACAATTAATTAGCTTTTAATGAGTAATGACACCATCAAAACTTGGAAATAGTACAATTTTTGAGTCATTGACTTCCATGTCTTTAAAAGATGAATCAAGTTATAAGAAACAAATATATTGAGTTCAATGTAGAGGTTTTCAAATTAACCATAAATATATCTATATCAAAAGTAAACAAAAGAAGAAGAAATCTAATAAAACATGTAACTAAATTAGTAACCTTTAATATGAAGTCTAATCTTCAATTTCCACTAATAAACCTGCGTGGGATTTGAACGCACATTTTTTGTGCAATTGCACAGTACACTACCTATTGAGATAGTAGGCTAGTGTGTATTTAACATTCAATTTTTTAAAATATAAAAATAAAAATCAAAAGTAATTCAAAAAACATCAATAGTAAATCAAAACATATACGTAGTATAATCACGACGGGTTTGGAACTTCGGATCATTTCATATCAAACTGCTGAAACCGGTAGACTAATAGACCTTCCACCAAAAAGAAATTCGAAACTTACAATCTTGATTAATCGAATATTCATTCAAAGTAAAGCTAAATAACTTAAAAGTAAATAAAAAATCTCAAAAAAGTAAGTAAAAATTTATATAGAGTGCATATTTTGTTCATTGTTGATGATGTAAAGAAACTTCAGAAAACAACACAGTGATAGTCACGTCACATAAACCATCATATGATTATGAAATAGATGAACACCAGAGTAAAGACGATGCATCATTTCATAGTTCTCAGGAACATAAAACTAGTTAGAACAAGCTAAAACAATGTCTTGGCTATTCACTAAGTTAATTATTGCCCTACATTCCTACAAAGATCAGGTTGATACCCCCAAATGACTATAAAAAGTTTCTACTAGCTGTTTCAACAATCTGCACACACCAATATCATGTCAAAATCCATTAAAATAGAAATAAGGGCTCTTTATACACCATAGGCAGAGGGAACTTATCCTTTACAATAACAATCTAATGCAATGAATCAATAACAGTGTAAATATTATCCACATAATATAAAAACAAAAATGTAATTAAAAGTAATGGGTTTTTCTAAGCTATGCCCCTAAACTTCTTCGGTTTCTAAGCTGTGCCCACGGTTTTTTATACGTCTAAGCTATGCCCTCCAGTTTACCTTTTTTAATACACTATACCCTGTGACGTTAAAACCTCGTTAGTAGTTGCGGAACTGTTAAGATACATCACTTTGGAGGGAAGATTTGCCGCCATAATTGTTAGGGTTTTACTTGGATTATAAAAGGGGGCTTGTATATCACATTTCCCCTGTTTCTTCTTCTTTATCTCCCAAAAATTTAGCTCCCAAAAATTTAGCCCCAAAAAATTTAGCCATTAAGATGACGAGCTCCCGTTCTTCTCCTGTGATTTCTAGTTGTCAATGGGATTTTATTAGTCCCAAGTGCAATTACAAGCCTCCTTTAGATTGCAAGTTACATGTTTCCACTTCAACAAGGAACCCTAGAAAGGCATATTGGAGGTGTGATTTCTGCAGATTTTTCGAATGGGTAGGCCCTCATAACATGCTGTGGAGAGGAGAATACAAACAAGCTTTTTACGATGGTTTTGATGGTGGTGAAAGCATTGACAATGGTGCGCTGATGGAGGTGAAGCGTGAATTGGAGGCTTTAAGGCATAAAGTTGATAATGTTACTGCTTCTTTTAAGGACATGTTTAAAATTGGGGTGGTGATGTTTTTGTTGTTAATTATCATATTGAAATGTAAGTGGTGTTTAAGTAGTGTATGGTCGTATGAGAATCATAGTAAGTTGGTTTGTGTATGATCTCATGACGTAATGTACTGTTCTTTAATATTTGGTTATTAATAACAGTTTATCAGATTCCTGTTTATATTGAGTCTTGTATTGAATTTGATAATATAACTGTTTGGGGTTTTCTGTGTCCTTCGGGAGAGTTACAATTTCCTAGCAGACTTCCTTCTTACGCCTGTACCTGCACCTAGCCGACTTCCTTCTTGCGCCTGTACCTGCACAAGTAACGGAGACTCCGGATGGGGGGTGGGAGTTCCGCCTCCGAAGATTAAGTTAGTATCTTTTCGAAGTGGAATAAGAACAGCAAAAGCTTCTCGGTTCGAGAGCGTTTCCGAAGGTTTGGACTTTGTTTGTTTTTTTTTTTGTGGTTGCAATTAATGTATGTGTCTGTGTCATAAATGAGGTCTACCCTTACTATTTATAGTAAGGGAGAACTGTACCTCAATTAGGGTATAAGGGACACGTGTCTGCAAAGGAAATGGGCCTTTGCAGACCGCTGAAGGATTGACACGTGTCAAGCCTTTATTGGGCCACGTGTCTTAGGGTATTTTCACCCTAAACAATAACATTTCAAATAGAAAATAGTGACACTCTACAATTGGAATACCAATCCATAATGTCAACCGAAAGTACCATATATTCACAATTTGCCCAAAACATTACATCACTTAGTAGCAATAACACAAAAGTTGGCTTAAAAAGTATTGTTTGCCACAAAAACTAAAGTTTGCCCCAAAAACTAGGCCAGTTGCATACCTGACATAACACTAACAACATTACATTATAGTGATTATGCCCAAAAAAAGTGATTACAGTTTGCCCCAATAATTACAAAAGGATAAGTTTCACCCATTTCAGAGTGTATGTTAGCTTGCTTAAAGGATCTGATTACCTAAGGCTGACTCATCGATGGTTGCCTGAGTTCTGCACTTTGGTTTGATGTTTGAACTTGGGGCTATGAAGATGCATTCATGGTATCAATGAAGCTATGATCAAATGCATCACTGTTGCTGGACTGATCTTGGTGTGAATTTCCTTTCCCTTTTGATGCACCACTGTGGTGAGTACGGTTGTCTGTTCTATCAGCACCTTCACTAGCGTAATTTCCACTGACCATCAATTCAATCAGGGAGAAGTCAACATCATTATCTTCAGGTAGTCTCTGTGCTTTTTTTCCTTTATTGCCTCCCTTTTGTGGCACAATCTTCCCTTGTTGCTCGGCTACTTCTCTGGAAGTTGGGCCACCTTTGCATGTTGCCATATTGAGCCCATAATTCTTGCAGTTACTACACTGGACGGTTGCACTTCTTTTTCCTTTTCTCTGCTCCCCTTCCTCTCTCCTCCTATTTCTTGTTGGTCTGCCAATACTTCGTTTCATTGTTGGTGGTATGAGGGTTGGAACACCATCAATGTGTGGCCATTGCTCTTGATCAGGAACAGGGGATATGTTTCCACTGTAGGCTTGTCTGTACTTAGCTACAGTGAACCATTCACTCACATAATCTGTTGGATCCTTCACTATCTGTACCACTACTATCAGATTCAGTGTCTACATCAAAACCTTGGTCAGGTTGGTAATCCCCTTCACTATCTGTACCACTACTATCAGATAAAGCCCCACTCACATTTGACACCCCAACATCATCATCTAGCCTAACCCTAGTCCTCTTTCCAGTTCTAACAGATGGTTGCTCCTTCTGAACTTCATTGGCTTCAGTGATTGGTTGAGGTGGAACCCATAACCCCTTGTATTTAAGGGTAGATTTAAAGATTTTTTTTACCATGAAGGAATGAAGAAGGCTTAAGAATATTGTTTAGTTTAGTAGGGGCAGCATGGCTAACACTAGGACCTGTTTGGGTGACACCTGAAGTTGGAGGGTTGATTAAGGATTCTTGTGTGGTTGGGGGGCTAGAAGCCATAAGCCCGGGGCTTCTTCTTGGGCTTGACAAAGTAATGGTTTGACTTTGTTCAGGAGATTTAATTTTAGATGGTCCATGAGATGATGGGGTTGAAAATAGATTACCAGAATTTTTTTCTTCAGGCTTACCCCTCTTACCACCCCTAACTGGTAGTATAGTTATTGGTGGTTTAGGTAGTGATGCTGAACCACTTTCATTTGATCCTTTCAACCTTACCTTTTCAGCTAAGGTCCAAATAAAATTAGGTTACTTCAAACAACCAATCCATATATCTATCCTCCTAGATTCAACTACCTCAAACATGGTCATTAGTGTTTTATCATCAGTAAGTGCATGACTCTTCCCATTGGAACAATAACTTAACACAGGAAAAGTGGGGAGTTCATACCCAAAAGAACTAAATTTGTCAACCATATCATTCACTACATCTATCAGCAAACATTCATCTATATCAGCAACCATAACATCAACAGAGTTACCCATGAAATGCATTTTCAACACCCTTTCACCCATTCTGCAGATAAAAAACATGGGGCAAAAAACCAATGTATAATCATTAACCAACATATCCAAATACACAATTGAACCAAACAATATTTAACTAAATCAACATTTACCAACTATATATAAAAAACAAAACCCTAGAATCAATTGCGACATCAACAACCAACATTTCGCTTAAATTTATGTAACATAACAAAGAGTTGCTCTAAATCTCACAAATTTATCGAAATTACCTGTCTTCCCAAGCCGAAATTCCCGTTTTTTAGTGAAATTCAGCAACGCAGCCACTCCACTCCAGCTCGCAACGAAATTGCAACCCAGATGAAGATCGCAACCCACAACTCCACGAAATTCAACAAAGTTGCTATGAATCTCACAAATTTATTCAAAATTACCTTTCTTCCAAGCTTAAATTCCCGTTTTTGGTGAAATTCAGCAACGCAACCACACTATGACTCCTTCTCTCAACCAAATCGCAACCCAACTTTTGTTTGCAACCCACAACTCCACGAAATTCAACCACGCAACTCGTCAATTTGATTTCTATCGCAAATTTCTGGGCACTACTTTTTAAGGGTTTTGATTTTCATTTGAGTGTTCATGAAACAGAGTAGAAGAGGAGTTTAATAAGAGGTGTTTGATACTATCATTGTTTGGGAACTAGAAGGACTTTAATTATTTAATTGTTTTAAGGAATTTAATTGTTTTTTTTTTAATTTCTATTTTAACTAGCAACGACAACTAACAGACCTTAACGTCCGTTACTTACGGCTAATGACATAGGTTATTTTTAATAGAAAATAGTAAGGTGGAGGGCATAGCTTAGACGTTTAAAAAACTGTGGGCACAGCTTAGAAACCGAAGAAGTTTAGGGGCATATCTTAGAAAAACCCAAAAGTAATTTACCATACAATCTAACAAAAAAACCAAAATTTTATCAAGCAAGCAACAATTTAATAATACCAAATATAAGAATATATCAATAATTCAACCACAAAACCATAATTGCAGCTAATTAAATGAAACCACAATACGCTAATATATGATTGTAAGAGTTTTATACATCAATCGAAATCACAAAAAGTGAAACAAATAGTAGTGAAAACCCTAATTTTTGCAATCGAAATCGCCCAACCTTTATTTTAAAAAAGACCCTAATTGAATTTAAAAAACAACAAAAATATACGAAATCAAAACACTTACCTCTCCAGAAACAACCAGAAACAGCAAATCAAAGAACTTAAATAAACCAATTTGAAGAATTCGATGTGCGAAACCGAAGAAATGAAACCTCTTTAGAGAGCATTCAAAGAAAAAAAGAGAAAGTCTGAACAAGAGAGAGAAAACGAAAAAGAAGCGACTAGAAAAATTAGATAGTCATTCGATTTGCAAATATTACCATTTTACCCTTAATGAAGCGGGTGAATTGACAACCGTTAGATAATGCGCGATTAATGGTTGAGATAAGTTCCTAATTCTCATTATTCACCTTGGTTCTCACATGATCTCATATATATAGTTTAGTTAATTTTTTTTATAAAAGTAATTGTACTATTAATTTTATTTTTTTCAAACATAATTGAAATCAAAATTCATTATCTAATATTGAGTATCCTAAACATTATTAGTTTATTTTTTTTTTCTTTAATTGTAATAAGAAATTCCTTAAAATTGACATAGTTGTGAATAAAAAAATAATTAGCATAAATTGTGTGATATATTTTTGGGTTACATATTTCAAATAGCTATACGGTTGTATGTATGAGCAAACGAATTGAAAGGGATGAGATCAATTTTGTTATTACAGATTGTTGTTAAATATACGTGTATAAAATTTATATATATTATTAAATTTTGAAATTTATAAACATGATTCACTGTTTATAATATAACATTGTTAACATAAAATGTATCATTAGAGTGGTGGTAAAAGATGAATCATAATGAACACATGGTCATGGGTTCAAACATCAATGCTAAGAAATTTTTGTTTGAGGATAAAATAGTGATAATTAATGGTCTGATATGATATGACGCCACATCATATGCCAAATAATGGCAAGAATGACAACACATGGCAGAATTGCATGTCTTGCCATTGAGTTTTAATAATATATAATAGTATAGTACCCGTGCAATTGCACGGTATAATAAGCTCATATGTATAATTTATTTATCAAAGAATTTTTTTAATAATAATGATGAAGTGGAAATCAAAAGTTACGCTCTAACATATATAGCTAGCTCCTACATATATCATAGCATGATTTAACGTTCGTATTTACATAATTATGCAAGTCCCGCACTGCACCCGTCCTAGTTGGAGCGGGTATGAGTCCAAATATTGCTAATAAGTAGGCGGGTATGAGTACAAAGTCATACCCACGGTGGGTAGCAGATAAGTGGTAGATTTGATGTAATACCCACCTATTACCCGCCTACCCGCCTACTTGCCCAATTACCTGCTAACTTATTACTACTACTAATTTTTTATGTAATTCTTTTTGTATTTGTAATGATGAAGGACTACTTTTATACCAATTGACTATTTACTTGTATAATATATTATTAAATTATGTATTCACAACAATTCAGAGATAGCATAATGACATGTTCTATGGGAAATTTATTAAACAAATGTTGTTAGGTTAGCGGATAAAAGGTGGTCGGGTAGTGAATATCCACATGGGTGGTGGATCGAGTGTGGGTGTTAAAATTTTACCCATTGAGGGTGGGGGTAGGTCATAGGTATAAAATTTTTTGGCAGATGCGGATACGAAGGAGGGGGTACCCAAACCCGCACCACCCAATTGCCATCCCTACTTGAAATTATGAACCAGTAATTGGGTAAATACTACGATGTACTTCATGAGTGAGTAGTTTAAAAAAACGACGGTAATATTATACATTTAATATATTTAATTTTCTTGTGTGTGAGAGAGTAATGTGCATATATTTTTAGGTATTTGATATTGCCTCCATTTTATAATATTGACAAAGTCAAACTTAGCGGACTTGCTAATGTTTGGCCCTAAATATAAATAGTTAAAAATAAATAAAAGTATACATAAAAATGTAATATTATAAAATTATATGCATGATCTTCCATAATAATACTCGTAGTAGTAATTCTAGAATTTTCAAAGTATATATAGAGAATACATACATTAGTCTATATATATATATATATATATAAATATATATATATATTTTAAATATGTGGTCAGTTACTATGTATAACTAATTATAAATGTTAATATTACATCAAAGCTTCATTTGACTGCATTCCATTATGTCTAAATAAGATATTACATTATCAAAAATAAAAGATTAAGAATTGTACAACTTACTTAATATTACATTATCATGAGATCAATTAGTGATTATTAGTAAGATTTAAAATATTCGTTAGACTGCACATTAATATACTGCAATAAATTTAAGAATTACTATAAATAATATTATGTAATTAGGCGGAAAATAAATTTTCATTGTGGGAGTGACATGTGTCAAGTTTTAAGTTGAGCATCCTCTTTAATATAATTACTAGTATAGTACCCGTGCAATTGCACGGTTTTGAAAGTTCGAATATTAAATCTCACAAAACCGAAACCAAAATTAGCTTAATGCATAGTGGTGATATATATATATATATATATATATATATATATATATATATATATATATATATATATATTACATTATATGAATATTCATTCATAATAATGTGTATGATGGTATTGTGTATCATAATTTTAATTCAATATTGAAAAAATTAAATTAAATTTAGAGATATAAAAAGGTTTATGGCTTTTACATATATTACCTTTTAGATCATAATGACTTTACCCATTCATATATCTCATATATTACCTTTATGTGTACTTTTGGTTTAACCAACATAAAAACTACTCTTAATGTGGTCACAAAATTTTAAATCAGTTACTTAAGTTACCCCCAAGATAAACTAAAGTTACCCTGCTATAAATAAAAGTTACCCATATATAGAGCTTATGTTTCTTATCTAATGAAAAACGTATAATTTACATTATAAAATTATACGTTAAGCATTTTTTTTAAAAAAAAATCGTAATGCCATATTTTCTAGGTCCTTAAGTTATTTTGTAGCACCATTTTTTTTTTGCCTTAGAAAAACATGTCCAATTACTTCCTCTGTCTCTAACTTTTTGCCCCATTGCATATATTTTGGGTAATACCTACTCCTAAAATCACGCACTTCAAATATTATACACGATAATAATTTTATCTAAAGTTATTATCTTTTGTAAAACATAGTGTATATCTTCTAGTCAAAGCATATCATTAGTTACCTCATTATTGACCTGATCATACTTAGCCTAGCCCGCTGACCCGGCCTGACCCAACCCGGTTTTGGGCAGATTTTTCCAATCCGAAATTTATTTTTTTTGGACGGGTTTGGGAATGTGTTTTTTTATGCATTTTTTAGTTGATTTTTTTTTGCCTGGCCCGAAAAGCCCACATGGCCCCACCAGTTTGGGTGGGTTTGGGCACAAATATTTCGGCCGAAATCTTGACCCGACCCGAGAAGTGGGCTGCTTTTTTTGCTCTTGGCCCGACTTAGCCTGCCCAATGACCACCTCTACCTCATTGTATTTTATTCATCACACCTAATTTGAGGCTTGTATCATGTATATATGCTGACTTTTGGTAAAGTGAATGCACAAGGAAATATTCCCAAATTCTTTCATCTTTATATTTTATTTACGCATATTATTACACTTGTTTTGTGCCACGTGCAATGCCCGGATTTTGTTTATTGAATTTTAAAATAAAACTTTTTATCTAAAATATATATGTTATTTGAATTTTCTATTCATGGCTAATAATCACTTGACATTGTCTATTTATGGCCTGGGTATTTTATGGATGAATAATCGCCTGACAATCTAAAAAAATTAGAAGTAATAATGTACAACCAAAAAGAATGGTTGTCTAAAGCTGTGATCTCTTTTTATTTTTTCTGATCATATAGGGAAAGGCTGGCTGCATGTTAAGACTTAAGAGAACAATTATATATAATAACACATCTCTTTAATTTATTTATTTTTATTTTTTTCCTTTTGTATAGAAATATTGGTATTTTATTGAAAATAAAATTTTAAACCAAAAGTTTTACTGAACATAAAACTCTAAAATAACTTTTTTTAATCCTACTAAATCTATCTAAATTTTATTGAAAACAAAACTCTAAAAACAACTTTTTTATCCAATAAATCTATCCAACTTTATTCTACAAAAAAAATATATTCAAATAAATCCTACGTGTCATATTAATAATTAGTTGTTGTCTACGTGGTGCGACACTTGGTGAAAAGTTGGAACGCCAAGTGTCGTTGTCGGTGAAAAGTTGGAAAATTCTCAATGGCGACCCCCAAGAACTGCTCGCACCAATGGTGACCCTCTTTTTTTTGGCTTATACAAAATGACCTTAGTTATCTATTTTCTCCTAATGATGATATTAATGATTGTTTTTTTAACATAAAATTAAACCATGGTTAACCAAAATATTGAAATGACAAAAATGCCCCCTTTTTATTTCACCCAAGCACCCGATTTTTATTCCCTCCATTTATTTCTCTCTCCTTTGTTCTCCCTCTTCATTACTCTTCATCTTCTTCCTTCTGGTGCATGTCCCATCAAATTGTTCATCGAGACACAAAAAAACGCAGAGCATTGAGTTCAAACTCTATAATACCATCAAAAACAGACGACGATTATCAATTTTCTTCTGGGATAAAATAAAGGGGGATTTAAACTTTTATAATTTCAATAATTGCGACTAGGGTATTCGAGCCTGTGATAGAATCGGGGTAGAAGGTGAAAGGTCAAATCTTTCTACATCATTTTGCCAAAAAGAAGTTCAGGTATGCATCTAAAACCCTAATTCTTATATATCGTTTCAATTGTGCATGTTATGTACTCTGTTTTGGCATGATCGTTTTGTTGCATGTTTTACGTGGTTGATTTGAAGTATTATGCCCTAAATTTTGTTGTCTTGTTTACTGATTTTGTGTTATGGACTTGCTTGTCTGTGTTTGTGCTTGGAATATGGTATGGTGTTAGAATGAGTGATGCGGTGGTGTTGAGGTTTCAGTATAAGGGTGTTGAGGTTGATGTGGTAGTTGAGGATGTTGACACAGTCAATCTAGTTGACCTAGTGATAGAGTATTGGGATAAGGCTGTTGAGAGTAAGAAACCAATTCCAAAACATGCTAGTTTTGCTTATGTTCACAAAATGAAACATGTGGACTTGATTACTGATCAAGACTTGATGAAAATGTTTACTAACTTAAATAGAAGAGACCTTATACATATATGGGTGGGTGAGGCTAATTCACCAAATGAGTTACTGAAGGCTGCTAGGACTTTGAGGGCAAGTAGGATAGCTGCTGAGTTGAAACAAAGTGTGGGACAGTTGGGTACA